CCACCCCCGCCTCCCTATGAGGCCCCCACTGGATGCTTTTTCTAGTATTCTCACAGTCCAAGTCTTCCTCCAAGCCTCTCCCCCTGCTGGGCTCACCTACTCCTCTGCCTCAAGTAGTTCTAACAATCCAGAGATTTGCATCAAAATGCCAGGGGCCAGAGGGGTACTAGGGACTGTTTGGCAAATTTCATTCTTGATGGGGAAGATGATGCCACAGCCTCTGCCCTGCCCCCTCATTGGGGTCTTCCTATGCCCCCCTTAGCCCTGTGCATCCTCTCTTTTCCCTTCCACCCTCTGTCTTCACAGGAGTGGTAGGGGCCAGGGCCTTGGACTGTGTAACAGGCCCCTCATGTGGTCTGGGGCTGGGAAAGTGATGGGGGGCCACACATGGGTTTTGATGTGGGAAATATGGGGATGAGCTGGTGGGACCAGGTAACACCTTCCATAATTCATCCAGTGACTATTTACTGGGTGTCTACCATATGCCTACACTCTTCTAGGATGTAGGGACTCAGCAGTGACCACTGCACACACCCTTGCTCTCTCATGTGTCATGGGGCTCTGTCCTCCTGCACCCCAGAAGTGAGCCTGTGCAAGCCCTCCTTTCTGCTCCCCAAAGCACAGAGTTCTCTCTCCCTTCTGGGCCTCCTCACCTCTGCCAGGTGTGCCCTTGCCCAGCTCTCGGGGGGCTGGCTGATGACCACTTGACCTAGAAGGCTCAGCTCAGATGGCCCTTCCTGCAAGGTGCTTCCTCGTGAGCACCCAGTCTTCCCACACATTCCCACTCACCCACCCTGTTCCTCCCCTTCATAGTACCTACCGCAGTTTGTAATTGAATTGTTTTATGTTTATCCCCTCTTTTTAATTGTAAGCTCCCTATTTTATTTGCCACCTATACTTGCCTAGCCCAGTACCTACAGGACATCTGATAGATATGCTTGAAGGAAGGAAGAGTGGTAGGAAGGGAAGCAGGTCATCCTGGGGCAGGAGAGTGAGAAGTCAAGAGCCAGGTCCCAGCCTGAGGCCCTCCAACATCCAAAGGTCCTCCAATAGGTTGGGGGGCAGCAGGGGGGTGTGGAAGAGCAGTCAGAGAGGAGGGGGCGCATGCAAGGACAGGCCTCCCGGGAGCTGCAGGGAGACAGGGCATCCAGGGTCTGGTCCCTTTGAATTTAGCAATCCATAAGCCAGAGTGGCCTAGAAAGCAGCCAGATTGGAGAGGGTGGGGGGGGGGTGAAGGTAGAAAGGAAGAGCGCAAGGAGTCCTGCTTGTAGAAGCTGGGCTGTGAGGGCAGCAGCTGGAGAAGGACTGGGGCTGAGGGAGCAGTTTTTAAGATGGGAGATGCCAGAGCTCGCTGGATGGACAGACCGCAAAGGGGGAGGCGCTGGCCCTTCACTCCAGGGAGCAGTCATCTCTAGGGTCTGGCCTATGGAAGGTGGACCCTCCCCCAGGGGAAAAGAGAGGGTGGCTCAGTGGACTGATAGTTCGAAGGCAGGAAGGTGAGGAGCCCCTGCTCCGGGGCCAAGCCCAAGAAGGACTCATCTTCTGGTGCCGTCCTCCCTGTTCTTAAGTTTTCCCAACAGTCTTTAAGCTCAGAAAGGCCTTGCAGTTGTTTGTGCGAAAATACCCTCTCCCAGCCTGTCTTCCTAGCCCAAGTCCCAGTGAAAGGAACTTATATCCAACAAAAGTAAGGAGTTTGACCACCAGGAAGGGCATGGACAAGGGGCATCGAGTTTCCCTAGGTGTGGGGTGGCTGGGCACCGGGTGGCCTACAAGCAGAGGGCAAGTGGCGGAGAGCCAATGTGGTCTGATGAGAACAAAGAGAGGGTCCCAGCCCCTCCCCTGCCACAAGCACGCTGTGTGACTGGGGGCCAGACTGCTCAGCCTTCTGTGCCCTAAATTCCTCACCTCTTAAAAGGACAGTCCTGGGCCCTTCTTCTAGTCCATGAGTGAACCAGAGACCTCACAGACCCTGCCCTCCTGTCCTGCCAACTTCCTTCATGGCAGTTGTCTCACTGGCACTTCACAAGGACCCCAGCGAGGGCTACGGTGTCCCAAGGGGGTGGGCAAGGGAGGGCCTCAGGGTCCCTCAGGCCAAAGTAGGCTTCCTGCCTGCAGCAGGGCTGCTTCCCCTGGGGCCCCAACACTGGAGTCAGAAAGTATTTCTGATGTGTAACCCAATCGTTTCCTGTAAGAGGAGCTCATTTCCCCATTTGCGGGTCTCTGCAGCCACAAGGACTGGGACATTCTTGGCTTCCTCCTTCCTTGTCGCTTTATTCCCTCCCCCATGGGCACCCAGTGAGCCTAGGGAGTCCAGGAGCCTCCCTGGCTGGTTTTTCTCACTGATGCCGGCACTCCCTACACACAGTGTTCAGTCAGTGTGGGTGATGGAGAGAAATGTGGTCCTGGTGAGGGGCAGGGGAGAGCAGTTCTCTGCCAGGACTAGGGGCCAGGAGCTTCTGGAAAACACTGTGGGTCAAAGAGGAGGGAGCGGGTGAGGTGGGGGCTGAGGCCAGAGGGGAAGCAGCCATGGGGATGAGAAAGGCCTCTCTGTATGGCTGGGGTGGGGAGGACTCTGGGGCCTCTGCCCTTGCCCCAGCCCTCCCCCAGCCTCCTGCAGGTGTCCGAGGCAGCAGGGGCCCTGCAGGCAGGGGCATGACCCTTACAGCAATGGTGGCTGGCTCTGTCACAGCTAATGACCCTGATGGCCCAGGCTGGGGAGGGGATGGAGCTGGTGCTTAGAGGGAGGGAAGGGAAGGCTGAGGGTGTGTGTGTGTGTGTGTGTGTGTGTGTGTGTGTGTGTA